AAAATCGCTTGGTGTCCAACCAAAGCGCGTTCCAAAGCTCATCTTCCCCTTGACTCAGCACCGTTGCCACCGCTTCACCCACAACTGGTCGAGTAAATCTCCTTTTTCTGCATGCCAGTTCGAAAAGCGCGTTGTGGTACTGTTTTCGGGAAAAGGTGGTTAGCTTTCCCAAGCCTGTGCTTTCTGTACCATCAGGTTTCCAACCATCACTTTGCAAGATGCCATACGCGCGCCGAGCTTCCGCATTGAGGAATGCATGATCTGCAACACACTCCTGTAGCTCTTCCATTGGGCGACCCAACAGCATCCCAGTGATTTTGCCCACATAGGCCTTATCAGCGTTTCCATCCTCAAGAAGAACTTTATAGATCTTTTCTCCATAAAGTTGCCTTTCCTCTTGTTCTTCTGAGGATAACTCTTGATCAGCAACCCTTCCATCGGATTGCTCTTCCTCCCGTTTCCAGTCCCATTGACTGCCGGAATCTTGGTACCATTGACCAGCATACCATGAATCTGTCCACCACGTATTCCAGCCGCTGGGTTTCCATTTACGCAGCGTCGAAGAAGAGTCCTCCTCGTCCTCTTCCAAAACCAGAAAGGTGTCCAAGATTATGGTACCATCATCTTCCACTCGCTTCACTGTTCCATTGACAGTATCACCAAATTTGAACTGATGTGCGTTGTTCCCTTCTGCAGGAATCAATACATTCACATCACCATGGTCCAAAAAGGCTCCATACCCATTGATGCAGCGCGCTAGACCCATGATCTCATCTCCCTCTTGGTAGCAATGTTCCCCAGGTGATTCCAAGGCTCCCGCTCGGGGCACTTTCTTTGCATGCTCTTCAGAAACCATCTCTGTATCATCGGCTCCTGGCGCATCCTTTGTCTTCACCTTTGGGTCACACTGTTCGTCCGGCTCCTGCACGAGTCCCACAAGATCATCCATCTTGTGCTCCAGGGGCTCAGGACCTTCCTTTTTTCCAGCCAATGGCCTTGCCTCATCTGCTGCAGTTCGCTCGGTGTCGACTTCCGGCGAACTTCCAGATGGCAACACTTCTCCCTTCATGGGAGTGGACCCATCATTGGAGTCTTTTGTCACACCTTCTGCAGCAGGCAAATTTTCTTCCACTGCAGGGCGATTGAATTGCTCATCCACGGCAGGTACATTGTCTTCCACCGCAGGCTCCTTTGGTTCCATGGTTTCCAAAGGAGAATTGCCACCATCATTGACCACAGCTGCCTCATCGGCTCCGGTGTAGCCCTTGCCATTTCGTTCCTCGCAGCTAACTTCAGGTTGCACCAGTGCGTCCACCTGTGAACCTCCGTCACCAGCTGCTGCGGAGACCTGCGCCCCATTGTTGCAGTCGCCCGTGGAACGTGACGCCATATGCGCCTCAACCCGTGCTTCCTTCGCACTCCAGGTACTATCTGGCACATTGACCCGCGCATCATTGGCGCTCCAGGCCTCATCTTTCAGATCTTCCGTGTCTCCAGCTATTCCAGAAGCTTCTTTTTCCCCTTGAATGGCAGGATTCTTGGCACCAAACGAAGAGACCTCCTCAGTCGTAACACACAACTTTTTCCCTCCGTCTTCCAAATCTCCAGGACCACCTTCCTGAACGACAGGTACCACATCCACCACTCGCTCTTCTGCAGCCGACACAGTTCCGATCTCCACATTGGGCATTTTTTCTTCTGGACCCACCGATTCCACCGCTGCCACACCCTCAGAAAGCGCTTCCATTTCTTCCCGATCCAGATGTTGAGCTCCAGCGATGTCTGCTCGGTTTCCAGGAATCCCCTCCTCATCAGGAGAACCCGAGGTCGGGGCGTCACCACCAGCCCTAGGACCGCTATCCCTGATAGTAGAGGAAAAATCTTTTTCACCTACACTATTTACACTACCCTGGAATGCCCTCGTAGACTCAGGCGTCGGAGTAGAGGACGAAGAACCCAGTGCAGCCTCCATTTCCAGCTCATTGCCCGAAGGAGACCCAACCACCTCGTCACTCTTCATCTTTTCACCTACAACCGGCAACGTCCACTTGCTTTCCTGCGTATCCAGGCAGTAGTAATATTGTCTCCCATCTTCGTGGAAGTGCCATTCCCACGTTGTCCCATCGCACGCTTTGATCAGATGCTCATCTTTCCGAAAACCATCCCTTTCAGAGACTTGACGCATCTCATCCTCTTCTTCTGACAACTGGCGCAACCTTTCAGCCTCCATCTGTAAGATCTCCTCCTCCCCCACGGCGTATTCAGCAGTTGGTGCAGCTTCAAAGCTGTCCGCGCCCTTCTGTTCGTAACCGCTTCCACCACCTTGGGAACTCGCAGAGGGATCCCCTTTAATCTTGTTCAGAGGCCTCCTGGCAGCTTGCAGCACTTCTCCAATCAGATCGGTCTGAGACCCTTGGTCTACCATTCGGCCCGAAGTCGAAGTCGACGGCTGATACCCATGTTTTTGCAACACGCGTAAAACAGTCACCTCCATTTCACGGTCTATACCACCAGTCGCGTCCCAGTTCCTTTTTTCACCAGGCTTTGGCGATACAGAAACAGCACGTCCTTCAGCTTCAGCATTGCTAACCATATCCACATTGGGATTCATACCCACATTGGGGTCTTCTGCAACCAAGGCTTCTTCCAGATGTTCTTCAGCGCCAGGCATCACCTCTTCCAGCACCGCCCTTTCACCCAGAGACTCAGCTGCACCATTTCCAGCTCCACCATTCTGTCCACCATCCGAGGAAGGTTGGAGCCATCGCTTGGGAGAAGGCATTGCTTCTTGATCCCAAAGATCTTAAGAGAACACTCAACCGCAGGGAACCTAATTTGGGCTCATAACCTACGGGGGCAACCGAAAGGGAACAGGGAAAGAAACCAACCCTCAACAGTCGCCTATATGGATTTCCCAGATCGAACCAGAAACAAGAACACCCACCCCTAAGGGGACAGGATAATGGAGAAGGGACGGGACTACTCCACCCCGTTAAACCCAACCCCAGGCGTACGTACTTTTTCAACAAAAGCTGACGGCTCTTGGCCATCTTGAGCCAAACAAGATTTCCGGGTTCATTGACCCTTCCAACTCCCAACACTAACTCCTTTCTACAATACCAGTTGCAGCTCCGCACCCTAAACCCTACACCCTAAACCCTAAACCCCAAACCCAAGCCCCTGAGGTCCCAGTTCTCTGGGGGTCAGAAGCAGCGCATCGCCATCGCCCGAGCGTTGCTCAAGAAGCCCTCCCTGCTCTTCTTGGCAGGGGGCCTCAGAGTTGTTTAGGGTTTAGGGTTTAGGGTTTAGGGTTGAGGGTTTAGGGTTTAGGGTTTAGGGTTTAGGGTTTGGGGTTTTAGGGTTCAGGGTTTTGGGTGTAGGACCCGAAGCCCCAAGCCCCGACACCCAAACCCTAAACCCCAGCAAGCCCGTTTCTAGGGTTGCCAGGAGCCCTTCTGAGGCCCTGAGCCCCGCAATTCAAGCCTTGAGTCCCGCAACCCGCAACTCCTGGACGCCCCCGGGTTTAGGGTTTAGGGTTTAGGGTTTAGGGTTTAGGGCCCCCAAACCCTTTCACCATCGATCTGCGTCCTCGGGTGAATCGTCGTAGCTTGGCTTAGGGTTGCGGGCTGGCGGTATGCAGCGCGCCTACTGCAGATTGAGTGTTGGCCGCCCCAAGATGGCACCCAAGTCCTAAACCAAGACCCTAAACTATAAGCCCGAAACCCGAAACTCCTAAACCTAAAAGCCCCAAACCCCAAACCCCTAAACCCTACACCCCAAAACCCTAAACCCTAAAACCCTAAACCCTAAACCCTAAACCCTAAACCCTAAACCCTAAACCCGCCCCCGAGGATGAGGCGACCAGTGCGCTCGACAGTCGCTCCGAGAGGATGATCCAACGAACCATCGACAGCCTCGGAAAGACCCCTCGGCTTCGGCAGTCCTTAGGGCTTGGTTTAGGGTTTAGGGTTTAGGGTTTAGGGTTTAGGGTTTAGGGTTTAGGGTTCAGGGTTTAGGGTTTAGGGTTTAGGGGTTTAGGGTTTAGGGTTGTCGAGTTTAGGGTTTAGGGTTGAGGGTTTAGGATTGAGGGTGGAGGGTTTTTAGGGCTTAGGGCTGAGGGTTGAGGGTTTTAGGGCTTAGGGTTGAGGGTTTTAGGGTTTTAGGACTTTAGGGCTTGGGGTTGAGGGTTTAGGGCTCAGGGTTTAGGGCTTAAGGCTGAGGGTTTTTGGGTTGAGGATTTAGGTTCCTGGAATCCCTTCCCCCCCTCATAAAGTCCTCTACCCTCCCCCCCCCCCCACCGGCCCAAAGGTCAAAACTTCCAATATGATTCTACCGTGAGACACATTCAGGTAGGACGAAAGGGTTCGACACACTGCCCATAGTCGTGAGTACACAAGACCGTCACAACGGAAACACGAGCACTCCCCTCTTTGGACTTCAGTACACCAGGACCCTGTACAGAAATGTTCAGATCATTTTGCTCGGGCGGAAAAATTCTCCGCCACGCAGGCTCTGTTACATGCACATGTCGTGGGCTCCGCGACTCCGCGACAGGTTTTTAAGTCCTGCCCCCACAGCCTCAAGCCCGAAGTCGGTTCCGAGATCTTGGAGGGCCGACCTTGCTCAAACGGCGGGGGTTTCGGGTTTAGGGTTTAGGGTTTAGAGTTTAGGGTTTAGGGTTTAGGGTTTCGGGTTTAGGGTTTAGGGGTACGGCGCCACAGTCCTGCAAGGCCTCCCCCGATGCCACGGTGCCGCCCTACTTGGAGGTTCATGGTACTTCTGGCAACGAAAACGAAATACTAACCGTCTGAGCCCCTCCCACGCCTACGGGCCCAAACCCTGAAGCCTGAACCTTGAGACCTAAACCCTAAACCCTAAACCCTAAACCCTAAACCTTAAACCCTAAACCCTAAACCCTAAACCCTAAACCCTAAACCCTAAACCCTAAACCCTAAACCCTAAACCCTAAACCCTAAACCGCAAGGACCACGGCCGGCAAGATGACCATCGTCAGCATCGCGCATCGCTTGAGCACCGTGCCCCAGCTGCTTTGTCTCGGGGGGGCCGGGCCTGTCGGCCTTCGGGTTTAGGGTTTAGGGTTTAGGGTTTAGGGTTTAGGGTTAAGGTTTTGATTGCTATGACCTTTGAGGAACTTTGAGGAACTTGGCGGGCTTTTAAGGGGTTTGGGGGGGTTTTGGGGGACTCCTAGACCCTAAGCCCTGAACCCTGAGCCCTAAGACCTCGGGAAGGTGCAGAACTCTGACGTGATCTTCGTCCTCTCTGGCGGGCGAGTTGCTAGGCTGATCGAGCGACAACCTTATGCTTTAGACTTGTGGGTTGAGGGGTTTGGGGCCTAAGGGTCTGAGGACTTAGGGTTTGGGGTTTAGGGTTTGGGGTTGAGGTCTTAACGCATCGATGATCACTGAACTGTGGTGTTGAGAGGTGGTTTTCTATATCGCATGTTCTCAGTAGGCCGTCCGAGTCCTCTCAATCGGAGCCCCACGCCAAAACCCCAGGCAAGCCCTGAAGTGCAGGCAAACCCGACCTCGCAAAGAGCGCCCATGAAGAGGTAGGAAACCTTGGGCCCGAAATCTGCAACCCTAAACCCTAAACCCTAAACCCTAAACCCTAAACCCTAAACCCTAAACCCTAAACCCTAAACCCTAAACCCCAAACCCTAAACCCTGAACCCGAAACCCTAAACCCTAACCCAAAACCCAAAACCCTAGAAACCACAGAGCCGCAAGCTCAGGTTGCAGAGAAGGGCTCGCACAGCCAGTTGACGGCGCAGGAGACCCCGAGCTGCGGGTTGCGGGCCCTAAACCCTAAACCCTAAACCCTAAACCCTAAACCCTAAACCCTAAACCCTAAACCCTAAACCCTAAACCCTAAACCCTAAACCCTAAACTCTAAACCCTGAGCCCTTCAATCCTACACCCTAAACACCCTCAAACCCCCACTCTGAACCTCCAAAGAAGCCGAAAAGCCCGGAAGTCTCAAGCCACCGGGCCCCTGAACTCAAACCCTGAAAACCCTGAAGACCCTAAAAGCCTGAAAACCCTGAAAAGCCTGAAGCCCTGAAAGTCATCGTGAACCCGAACCCAAAACCCCTAACCCCCAAAGCCTAAACCCTAAACCCTAAACCCCAAGCCCTAAACCCTAAACCCCAAACCCTAATCCCCTACACCCCCTGAACCCTTACCCTCTGAACCAGGAGGGCGGCATCTACCAAGCGCTAGCCGCCGCCCAGGGGGCGGTCCTCCTACACCAGGCTGGCCCTGCTTGAGGTTCAGGGGTTTAGGGTTTGGGGTTTAGGGTTTAGGGTTTAGGTTCAGGGGTTGTAGGGCCTTTTGGGGGTTTAGGCTTTTGTGGGCTTGAGGCTTTCTAAGGCTTTTTGGGGGCTTTAGGGCTCAGCGATTTAGAGACATGGGGCGAGGAGGCATTCAGGATGAGCTGCCTCCGGGACCTACACCCCTAAACCCAGAGCTGTAAATCCCTAATATACAGCTCGGAATAGTTGCTGATAGTATTCCCTAATGTAAGAACCCCCACACTATTGTATTTTATTAAGGCCCCTCTAGTATGCCCACGCAACCCTAAACCCTAAGCCCTAAGCCCTAAGCCCTAAGCCTTAAGTCCTAAACCCTAAACCCTAAACCCAAAACCCTAAACCCTAAACCCTAAACCCTAAACCCTCAACCCTCAACCCTCAACCCTAAACCCTAAACCCTAAACCCCCTCATAAGCCCCGCGGCAGTCGAGCGATTTTTCGCAGCCAGCACAGGAGACGGGCGAGCTGGCGGAAGAAGAAGAGGCCACCCAGGGTTCAGGGGTTCAGGGGTTTAGGGTTTAGGGTTTGGGGTTTAGGGTTTAGGGTTTAGGGTTTAGGGTTTCAGGGTTGAGGGTTTAGGGTTTAGGGGTTGAGGGTTTAGGGTTTTGGGGTTCAGTGGTTGGAGCACTCGCTTCAGGCCATCGCGAAAACACTCCGTCTAGTCTGTCAAGGAAAGCACAGCAAACCTATGCAATTATGCGCTACCATCCTCGCTTCCCCGCCTGCTTACTCTCCACCCGACATTCGGATCCCTCAGCGATGAACCTCAAACTCTGCTAACTATTATCATGATGTAGAAGGAAAGAAGAAGGCCCCAAAGGGAGCTGTGCCAGTAGGCGATGGGTGCTAGTATAGTTTCTATGAATACGATTCCTCTGTTCCATAATAAGCCCCGTGACTTCAAGCTCTGCAGTCTAGGGTTTAGGGTTTGAGGGATAAGGGTTTAGCGGCTAGATACCTGCTACCTTCACTTTTCTTCTTTTTTTGGGGGGGGTCTTTCTAAAGGTAAACTGTCTTCCGGGGGGGGGGTTCCCTTCTTTGGGCTCTTGTCCCCATGCTAAAGCCTAAGCTTGAACCCTAAACCCTAAACCCTAACCCCTAACCCCTAACCCCTAACCCCTAACCCCTAACCCCTAACCCCTAAACCCTAAACCCTAAACCCTAAACCCCAAACCCTAAACCCTAAACCCCAAACCCTAAACCCTAAACCCTAAGCCCTAAACCCTAAACCCTAAACCCTAAACCCTAAACCCGCGTTATGCCCTTGAAATTTGGCGCCAGGCGCTGGTGCCCAAGATCCTGCTGCTTGTATGCAGCGGTACTCTGCTGTTTGCACTTCTCCACAAGAATCAGTCCGGTTCTGGGGTTTAGGGTTTAGGGTTTAGGGTTTAGGGTTTAGGGTTTAGGGTTTAGGGTTTAGGGCTGGAAATGTTGCCCCTTATACTAGCAGCCCTTAATAGGGGTTACAACGGGGGTGCTACAATCCCTATTAAGGACTGTAAGTATAAGGGGGAGCATCCCAAGGCTTCGGGTTTAGGGTTCAGGGTTCAGGTTTGGGCTGCCCAAGCCCCAAGCAACATGGACCCTGTGGCTAGCATGTGGGGCTTTCCGAAAATAGGGGTACCCTTATATACCCCAAAATACTAGATAATCCTTTTAAAGGAGCCCCAAAATACTAGATAATCCTTTTAAAGGAGCCCCAAAATACTAGATAATCTTTCAAAGGAGCCCCAAAAAGGGTACACTCTCGGACCAGAACAAAGCTAACGAAGCATGTGGCTTCCTCCGTGGGATGCCCCAGTGCGGCCTCTGCCCCCCAAGACCCCCAACCCAAACCCTGAACCCTGAACCCTAAACCCTAAACCCCAAACCCTAAACCTAAGCCCTAAACCCTAACCAATACCCTGAACCCTGAACCCTGAACCCTAAACCCTAAACCCTAAACCCTAAACCCCAAACCCTAAACCCTAAACCCTAAACTCTAGTCAGGGCGAGCTTTCAGAGCAGCGACCGGGAACCCTGGGAATAGGGTGTTGGGGGGTAGGGGATCCCGTGAGTTTAGGGTTTGGGTTTAGGGTTTAGGGTTTAGGGTTTAGGGTTTAGGGTTTAGGGTTTAGGGTTTAGGGTTTAGGGTTTAGGGTTTAGGGTTTAGGGTTTAGGGTTAGGGTTTAGGGTTTAGGGTTTAGGGTTTAGGGTTTAGGGTTTAGGGTTTAGGGGTTAGGGTTTAGGGTTTAGGGTTTAGGGTTTAGGGTTTAGGGTTTGGAAAGTGCAAAACCCCAAGCCCCAAACCCCAAACTCCAAAGCCGAGAGCAACATCCCAGGGCGGAGCCCTCCAAAGCCACGAACAAGATGGCAGAGGCCAGGGGATCTTATCTTTGTCATAGCGGGGTAACATTTTGCATTTTTTTGGGGGTACTTAAAGCTAAATCAGGAATCGAAATGTACATTGTTAGTTCTCTCCCAACCATGAACTAGTTCTGAAATGAAATTCGAATTAGGGAATTAGGGTTTAGGGTCTTGGGGTTCGGGGTTTAGGGTCAAGGGCAATGGGTTTGTTTTGGGTAGTTTGCAGGAGAATGATGAAGGGGTTGTATATAGGCTGATAATTTAGAAGATTCAGTAGTCTCCTACAGTAGAGATGTGAGGGTTGTTTCTTTTCCGACTACAGTCGGCCTTATATGAAGCAGGGTTTGTATTTCTGTTTTTGGTGAGTGTATATAAGGTTCCTTTTTAATATTGGTGAGTGTATATATTGGGTGTCCTTTTGGGGATACAAGAAATATATACCCTACTTCATATCAGGGTATTTTTTTGTCTTGACACTTTCTGGTGGGGGGGGGGTGTTTAGGGCTTAGGCCCCAAGCTATAAGGCATGCAGAAGGTTTGTTGAAGGAAATCCGATGAGAACCCCCCAAAGCAGGGAACCCAAGAAATGTAGAAGGACTATAGTAGGAATCTAGCAGCAGTACTGGGCACAAGGGCCCTGAAACTCATACGATGTTCCTACTACATGCCTGGGGTTCTCTGCCTTTAGGTGTTAGGGTTTAGGGTTTAGGGCTTTGGGAAGGCTTCCTTTAGTTCAGCGTCTCAGACTCGGGGCTTAGTTGGCGGTTGAAGGAATGGAAGAGGGACGATACAACATGGGCAGCTTACGAAAAATAGGGGGCCCCCTAATGGAGTCCCGCAAAGAGTAGAATAAGGTGCCCCCTAATTTGTGGAAACCCCCATACCCTAAACCCTAAACCCCAAACCCTAAACCCTAAACCCTAAACCCTAAACCCTAAACCCCAAACCCCAAACCCTATGTGGCATCCTCGAGCTTTCAGTTGCGGGATGATCTTTTAGGGTTTAGGGTTTAGCTAAAATAGACCCCGCGCGGTAGGATTCCCGTAGAAGAAGGACCCCCAGGAAGGTACCCCGAATTTCGGAAGCCACCATATTCTTACCCTAAACCCCCTAAACCCTAAACTTTGAGCGATGCGTGCCGGGACTCACAGGCTTCCGAGCCTGTCACCTTGTAAACCCTAAAAACCGACTATGAATCTTTATAAGCCCTAGATAGCAGCCCTATCAAACCCGATAAGGCCCTATAAAGCCCTCTCAAAACCCTATAGAGCCCTAGAAAGCCTGAGAAAACTCCATAAGCCCCCACCCCAAAAAATCCCTGTAAAGCCCCATAAGCACCAAGCCCGAAACCCTAAACCCTAAACCCTAAACCCTAAACCCTAAACCCTAAACCCTAAACCTTAAACCCTAAAACCCCAAACCCCCGAGCCCGTTTCCCAAGCCCGTGGCGCGCGAAAGCCGAGCGAGTCAGGAGCTTGAGGACAAGGAGGCCGAGCGAGTGAAAGACATCGCGAAGAAATACAAGGCGGATGGTGGTTTAGGGTTTAGGGTTTAGGGTTTAGGGTTTAGGGTTTAGGGTTTAGGGTTTAGGGTTTAGGGATTAGGGTTTAGAGTTTAGGGTTTTGGCAGTTTTCTGGGTTTTGGGTGGAGGTTGTACCTCAAGGGTCATGAAGGGGTTACAGCAGCCTTGAGTGGTTCTCAGAGTTTTGAGGGCTTTTAGGGTCTCTGGCTCCGCCAAAAAGAGTAACCTAGGCCCGTTGAAATAAACAACAATGCGCAATACAATTCTCGGAGCAAGAACCCTAGACACCCTAATCCCCCCCCCCTAAAGAAGCCACCCTGAAATGCCTAAGAACCCTAAACCCTCAAAGCCAAGGAACCTGAAGCGCACCCAAATCCCTAAGAACCCTAAAAAATCCTAAGCAGCCCACGAGCTGTCAAAACCCTCAAAAGCTTAAGAAGCCTAACATGTGCCCCAAGAACCCCAAAACACCTAACTCGGTAGGCCCTGGGGACATTTTACATTTCCCCCTGTTGGGTTGAAGAAGATCATGTGCAGGAATCTTTTTTGTCAGAGGGTTTTAAGGGCCCTCCTAGCCAAGACGAGAAGAGTTTTTAGCCCCCTAAAAGGCTACCAAAACTCGAAGGACCCGAAACCCTAAACCCTAAACCCTAAACCCTAAACCCTAAACCCTAAACCCTAAACCCTAAACCCTAAACCCTAAACCCTAAACCCTAAACCCTAAACCCTAAACCCCAAACCCTAACCCGCCCCACCCCCCCGGCAGCTCTCTGGTACTCCAGCAGGTGCCGATGCGGAGGCTGCTGAGTGGCGGACCCAGACCCAGGGAGCCTCCTTTGTGGTTCTTTACTGTAACTTTACATCTTTAGCCTTTTTGGGTTTATTGGGTTTCTTAGTAAGGCAGCTAAAATTTTAATTTTTAGCTACCCTTCTAAGTGCAGCCAAGCCTCTTTCTGTTTTTTTTTCTTGGAGGGGGGGCAGGAGGGTTCGGGGTTGAGGATGTTACTATGAGACTATGATTATCGTTTTTTTTTTGGGTGGGGGGGTAGGGAGGCGGGGGAGGCCGCAGCAACTTGCAAACTCCGTGTTCTCGCATCCGGCTTGACAGGGAGGACGCTCTAGTGCGGCTTAAGCTGGGTTATACCTGCGTTCTTGTTTGAGCAACGCGTGTGTCATTCTCTGAATTAGGGTGCTTTTTTCGGTCCTTACTTCAGGGATGCCGTACTAGGTATGGGACCCCCAAAGGGACCCTAATTTCGAGAGCTGGCCATGTTGCAGTTTTCTGTACACCTGAACCCAGTATACTTTAAACCTGATCACGCTCAATACTACCTAAACTAGATTACCCAGAAAGCTTGACCCTGAAGTGGCAACCCCAAAGCTTTAAGCCCTAAACCCCGTGGTACGGTAAGGGCGGGCTGAGTCTGGTTAAAAGGGGTTCAAAGGGTCCTGCGATGTGAAAAACATTGGTGTGCCTAAGGCTCCCGACATCCCCTACCGTATTTGGGCCTTTGGCTTCAGAGCGTACAGAAGTCTCTGAGCTTTACACCTCAAGCTCCGGCGCCCTCACCCTCCTCGTCATACCTTAAGCCCCAAAACCACAGCAAACCCCAAATCCCAACCCCGAAGCCCCGTAGGCCCTAAACCCCTAAACCCCTAAACCCTAAACCCTACACCCTAAACCCTAAACCCCAAACCCTAAACCCTAAACCCCCAAAAAAGCGCCCAGAGGCTTCTCGCGCCCACACTGGTGGGCCTTTGCCCCTGGCCTCCTTGGGGCCCTGGCCGGTGCCTGAGACCACGGGCCCGGAAGAATTTAGGGTTTAGGGTTTAGGGAGTCAGGGTTGAGGGTTTAGGATTTAGGGTTTCGGGTTTAGGGTTTCGGGTTTAGGGTTTAGGGTTTAGGGTTTAGGGAGTATTTCGGGTTCAGGGTTTCGGGCGCAGGGGCTCGTGGACATAGAACCCTCAGCCCGAGAGCCAAAAGACCGAGACAGCAAGAGTTGACGGCCCAAGAGACACTCGCGGTTTCCGTGGGTTTTTGTTGTTTGGTTGTGTGTCCCCATCCTTGTTTTTTGGCTCCTGGGTTGGGCAGAGCGCCATGTGTCTTCTTGGAGATCCCGTCCTGAGCCCCAAGTCTACACCGCTCAACATCGGAAGGTCAGTGGTGCTTGCTTTCCAGTCCTGGGAGCCTACATCCTCGTCCAGGCCATGATGTCCTTGATGCAGTCGGACAAGGACTTGGGACTGGTTAGGGCTTTCGGCCTGGTGTGTAGGGGTCACACACATATGGATACACATGGTTGTGCGCTGTGCATTGTCGGCCCCGACCCCCCCCTCCTAGGTATCCCCGCCCCCCCCCCCGCCCTCCTAGGGTTTAACTGGGGTTTCGGGAATGATTGTTTGAAGAACGGCGGCAGCATGTTTGTCTTGAGTTCAGGGGCTTTCAGGCTTCGGGCATTTTTGGATTGCAGGTTCCGAGTTCTGATACTCCAGCCCCCGCCCACCCACCCTTTGACCAGGCCCGCACCCCACCCCAAACCCTGGACTCCACAAACCGTACTTGGAGGGTCGAAGGACTTAGTATATAGTTATCTAATAGAGTTTTAAGTAGGATAGGTCCAATTGGTGGCCCTTTTAGGGTACTTATAAGTCCACTGACTGTCTACTTTCTAAGTCCCCCGACCCTCCAAGTAAACCCTTCGACACTGAACCTGGCAAAATCATAGGAGCCCAAAACCCTGAGAACCCCAATATACCCCAACAATAAGCCCTAGTAAGCCCTAAACCCTAAGCCCTAAACCCTAAACCTTAAACCCTAAACCCCAAACCCTAAACCCTAAACCCGAAACCCTAAACCCTCAACCCAATAAACCCGAAAGGGGGGCACACCTGGCCCGCAAGGAGCTGATGAAAGCCGATGCGGAGATCGCAGCGATGTGGTTTGTGTCCTTGGGCTGTTCGTTTTTTTTTTTTTGGGTTTAGGGTTTAGGGTTTAGGGTTTAGGGGGGGGGGTAGGTGGGTGGGGGGGGGTGGGGGGGGGTGGGGGGCTGGGGTGCGCGTTGGGGTGCGTGTTGAGGGTTTTAGGGTTTTCGGGTTTTCGGGTTGAAGTTGGGTTTCAGGGTTGTAGGGGTTTAGGATTTTGTTCTTCGGTGGTGGGGTTCTAGGCTTAGGGTGTTATAAAGGAGTTTAGGGATTTACGGTTCAGGGCTCGAGAAATCAGGTGGAGTAGTGTTTATTAGAGGTAAAGCACGTGTGACCTTCGTATTTAACCGAGCCCGGAAACGAGGCCCGTTCGGGGCTTTTGCCTGTCTCACAGTCTTTCCTGAAGCCTCGAAGTCTCTGCTCAAGCCTCTTCCTGAAAAATCCCACACCCCGCCCAGCCCCCCAAACTCCTCCCTCCAACCAAACAATCCTTATAAGTCCCCTTGTACTAACAGTCCTTAATAGGGATTCTAGTACCCCCTGTTAGAATCCCGATTAAGGACTGTTGGTATAAGGGGGAACATCCCAACTGATAGAGTCCTTGGGGGGTAGGTACCTAGGGAACCTTAGGGAAGCTGAGGGGCCTTAGGGAGTAGTGGGGAGTTTGAGGGAACCTTGGGTTACATTACCCCCCCTTGAACACCCGCCTCCCTTAAGGACCCTATAGACAAACTCCGAGAGCCCATGAACCTCATACCCGAAACCCACAATAAACGCCAAAGCCTAAACACCACGAACCCTAAACCCTACACCCTAAGTCTAAGCCCTAAACCGTAAACCCTAAACCCTAAACCCTAAACCCTAAACCCTAAACCCCGAACCCTAAACCCTAAACCTTAAGCCCTAAACCCTAAACCCTAAACCCCCAGGATCTTCGGTGCTTTGAAGTGTGTGTCGTCCGGCGTGCAGTTCGCCTGCTTTGGGCTGATTGCCGAGGCGATGGGGTGCAGGGTTCAAGGGTTAGGGTCTAGGGCTATAGGTACTATAGGGTTTAGGGTTTAGGGTTTAGGATTTAGGGTTTAGGGCCTTAGGGCTTGTGGGTTTTGGGATTAGGCTATGTGGTGTAGGGTTTAGGCTCAACCCTCAACCCTAAACCCTAAACCCTAAACCCTAAACCCTAAACCCTAAACCCTAAACCCTAAACCCTAAACCCTAAACCCTAAACCCTAAACCCGGGGTTGAATTTGGCGTGATGGGGCCTGGCTTAGAGTTTGTGGCTCTTCAGGCCACTACGAAGGAGGCCCGCGTCACGATGCTCACCAATATGTTCCGTCAAGATGTTGGCTTCCACGACGACCCAGAGCCTTGTGTGAAGACGTAGTGGGTTTAGGGTTTAGGGTTTCGGGTTGGGGTTTGGGGTTTCGGGTTGAGGTGGGTCTTCGTAGTGAAGAAGAAATTTAAATAGGAACATCAGACCCATGAGGCTTTAGAGTTTAGGCAAAAGCGGCTCAGGAGAACACCTCGGCCAAACTGGTCGCGGCGCTGAAGGTCTACGCCTATCGCATCGCGCGCCTCATCGTCTCCTTCGGTGACAAGGCCGACGCCCTGTGCTCGATCATTGCCGCCAAGACTGCGCTTAGGGTTTAGGGTTTGGGGTTTAGGGTTTAGGGTTTAGGGTTTAGTGTTTAGGGTTTAGGGGTTTTCGAAAATCAGGGGCCCCCAAAATAGACCCCAAACAGCAGGATTCCCTGATAGTAAGGACCCCAATAAGGTACCCCTCATTTCGAAAACGCCGGGAGGGGGTGATCTAGATTATTGGCTTGGTTTTGGGGGGGTTTCTCGAAACTCTGCCTTTGGAACACCTGCACCCGAAAGCCCGGAACCCGCAGCCCCTAAACCCCTACTTGGAGCTTCAGGGCACTTATAACCCCAATCATAGCCTCGCAGCCAGAGAGACCGGAAGTTTAACGCATCTTGTTTGCCCTGGCTGCTTCGGCAGGGTAAGCGTGCGGTTTGAGCCAATAAAAAACAAGCAAGTATCTGAGGGCACCTAAAAACAGGTTAGTTTCGAAGATTTCCAGAACTGGCTTCTGGTTGCTTGGGTTTCTTGGGTTTCTGGGTTTCTTGGCCTTTGACTTTTCTGGCTTCTTGGCTTTCCTGGCTTTCCTGGCTTTCCTTCTTGCTGCCTTCAAAGTCGGGTTCGCAGGCGTTCCAGGCAAGAGCCCACGCGAGCTGCTGCCAGTGCTAGCCATGCACATCCTGACTTGGAGGTTACTAACCAATTATAACTGTACTTAACCCGACATATAATACCCCTAAAGGGCCTTATAGGGGTTATCCCGATTATAAGTAGGGTTATAAGCCCAGTTATAAGTGGTTATTAAGTCCCATGAACCTCCAAGGAAGCCTCTCTTGAACAAGCTCGCACCTTAATGACCTTTCAAAAGCCGTAGAAACCCTGAGAGTCCAGGCCTTAAAGCCCTGAAAGCCGATTAAAGCTCGCGGGAAGGACCTTTCAAAACGCCCTCCAAAACAACCCCGAAACCCTAAACATTAAACTCTAAACCCTAAACCCTAAACCCTAAACCCTAAACCCTAAACCCTAAACCCTAAACCCTCAACCCTCAACCCTCAACCCTCAACCCCAAACGCGAAACCCTAGGTCGGCTTGACCATGGCCTTCATCGCCAGCTGGGAGATGGCGGGCGTCATGCTCCTGGCCATCCCCATCTTCGGTGCTGCCCAAGGCCTCTCAGGGGTTTAGGGAGGGGGGCCAGGGTTTTCGTTTTATTTATTTATTTATTTATCTATTTATTTATTTGTTTGTTTGTTAATTAATTAATTAATGAATGAATGAATTAATTAATTAATTACTTAATTAATTATTATTCTTATCATTTTAAAAATACATTTTTTGTTTTCGTTTTTTTTTGTTTTTTTTTTTTGTTGTTTTTTGGGTTTATGGGCTTTTAGAGATTTATTGGGTTTTTGGGCTTGTTGGGGTTTATGGGGTTTTACGGTTTTTTTGGGATCTTACTCCCCTTATGCCGCCTTATGCCCCCCTCATGCACCCCTCATACCCCCCTTGTACACCCCTAATTTGGGGTTTATGGGGTTTTAGTGGTGTTTTGGGGATTTCTTGGGATAAACCCTTCGGCGCTGCCCTGGAGTGTAGGGTTTTGGTTCAGGGTTTAGTGTTTTTTTTTGGGGGGGGGGGGGGGGGGGGGGGGGTGGGGTTTTTGGGGTTTGGGGTGTAGGGGTGGTGAGGCTCTTGGGGGTTTTGGGTGTTGGGGTTCTGCAGGGTTGGGATATTTGAGCCCTAAGCCCTACACCCCAAACCCTAAACCCTAAACCCTAAACCCTAAACCCTAAACCCTAAACCCTAAACCCTAAACCCTAAACCCTAAACCCTAAACCCTAAACCCTAAACCCTAAACCCTAATTAAACCCTAGGGTTTAAAACCCTAAACCCTAAACCCTAAGCCCTAAACCCTCAACCCTCAACCCTCAAGCCCCGAACCTTGGGATGCTCGCCCTTATGCTAGCAGTCCTTAACAGGGATTACAGTACCCCCTACTACAATCCCGATGAAGGACTCTTCGGATAAGGGGGAGCATCCCAACCTTAAACCTTAAACCCTAAACCCTAAACCCTAAACCCTAAACCCTAAACCCTAAACCCTAAACCCGAGACACCCTGAATGTCTGCAAAAGGAATTCAGATGGCCGTGATGATGGGAGGCGAGAAGTCGGAGAGCCAGGCCATCCCCCCAAACACAGATCTAAAACCCTAGCAACTCTTAACAGGGTTTAGGGTTTAGGGTTTAGGGTTTAGTGTTTAGGGTTTAGGGTTTAGGGTTTAGGTTTAGGGTTTAGGGTTTAGGGTTTAGGGTTTAGGGAAAGAATGTAGTGCCCCCTGCCCTATTATAATCCTTATTGAGAACTGCTAGGATAAGGGGGCGCACATCCGGGTTGGGGGACTTATTAAGTAGATAGTAAGTAGTCTTATAAGTACCCTAAAGGGGTCCCGAATTGGAGTTATCCTCCTTATAACTCTATTTTATAACTACTTACTAGGTCCTCCGACCCTCCAAGCAAACCCCAAACCTTGGGATGTGCCCCCTCCTTATACTAACGGTCCTTAATCGGGTTGCGGACTGTTGGTATAAGGGGGAACGTCCCAAACCTTAAACCTTGAAACTTAAGGGTTTCCTGAGCCCTCGACCTACAACCCTCATGCAGTCCTTTTTTGAACACGGCCAAACAAAATGATGAAGCCCTTAACCCAAAACCCTGCAAGCCCCAAACCCGACAATCCTAGAACCTGTTTTGCGATTCGTTCTTCTTCGGGGGCGAACTGCCGAGGTGATGAAAGCCTCTATGCAAGTGCTATCGGCTCCTTGGAGCAAAGAGGGTTAGGCTAACGCGCGGTGCTCGCATAGCAACACTTGCAGGTTCAGGGTACTTATAACCCCAATCACAACTGTACTTATAAGGCCCCTAAGTCCCCTAAGTAGGTTACAAGTAGACTTCTAATTGGGGTTATAAGTACCCATGAACCTCCAAGTAAAGACCATAATACAAAAATTGCTTCCTTCGCATGGTGACTCGGCAACTTAGTGGTGGTGTAGGCCCGCAGCTGTAGACGAGCTAAGCCCACAAGCCTAAACCCAGCCCCTCAGCCCCTCAGCCCTATAAGTCCCACGAAAGTCCTCATCCATACTTGGAGGTTCATGGGTACTTAGAATCCAAAATAGAAGTCTACTTATAACCTACTTAGGGGACGATAAGTACATGTATAATTGGGGTTATAGGTACCCTGAACCTCCAAGTAGACCCCAAAACAATTTAAGCCCCGATGCCCGGAACCATGCGAAGGAAGGCCCCAGGAGAGCTCAACCGGTTTGCACGTCTTAGCGTGAGCCTGTGCAGGGTTGTGGGGTGGGTTTAGGGTTTAGGGTTTAGGGTTTAGGGTTTAGGGTTTAGGGTTTAGGGGTTAGGGGTTAGGGTTTAGGGTTTGGGGCTTAGGGTTTAGGGCTTGGGCCTCCCAAATAACTTCCTTACGGAGGACCCCCAGTCTGCTCTGATTCGCTCCTTGTTTTCGAGTCTTGCTCGCCCTTTTTCTCGGAGTCAAACTCCTCTGAGGTCTTACGGGCCCTACAACCCGAAACCCTAAACCCTAAGCCCGAAACCCTAAACCCTAAACCTTGGGCCCGAAACTCTCTCCGCGCCGGAGGAAGGCCCAGAAGCGGTTTAGGGTTTAGGGTTTAGGGTTTAGGGTTTAGGGTTTCAAAGTTTGGCTTCCGATTTGCGCTGAGGGGTTGCCTCAAACCCCCTTAGCATCCTTGAGGGGTACGGGTTCGGGGTGTAGGGTTCAAGGGATTAGGGTTTAGGGTTTAGGGTTTAGGGTTTAGGGTGCGGGTTTAGGGTTAGGGGGTTTAGGGGTTTTTGGGTTTTTGGGTTTCGGGATTGATTTAGGGGATCAGGAGTTTAGAGGCGCGTCCCTTTCCTAACTAACCTTAATTAGGCTTAATCGTATAGAGGGGGGTGCTAAACCCGTGTGTCCCTTGGATGGAGCTGAGGACTCGCTGCTCAATTCCCGAACTGTGCAGGCATCGGGCAATGCCGGGGGCTTACAGTCACCATTCTTGCATGCATCTTCCCCCATATCCCTAAACCCTGAACCCTAAACCCCAAACCCCAAACCCCAAACCGCAAACCGAAACCCGAAACCCTAAACCCTAAACCCTAAACCCCAAACCCTAAACCCTAAACCCTAAACCCTAAACCCATAGCCTAGCATCCCTTTGGGAGGCCTTTCGGGTGTAAGGGGTATGGGAGGATTGCACAACTTGGGGTCCTTGTGTTTTTGGAGTACATACTGCTAGGCGCCCTTAGAATCTCTACCCTCTACCCCTAAACCCTAGACCCTAAACCCTAAACCTAAACGCAAAACCCTAAACCCCAAACCTACAGGAACAGGGTTTAGGGTTTAGGGGTAGTTTCTTTGACGCTCAATTCTCAACCCCAAACCCGAACCCGCTCAGCCCTTCAGCCTACACCTGAAAGCTGTCTCCTGCCCTACACCCTAAACCCTAAACCCTAAACCCTAAACCCTAAACCCTAAACCCGAAACCCTAAACCCTAAACCCTAAACCCTCTCTTACTATGTATATTTAAACCCTAATGACCTTCGTCGGCAAATGGTTTTTTTCCACCCGGGGGGGGCCCTAAACCCTGACCCCCTTCGTCGGCAAATGGTTTTTTTCCACCCGGGGGGGGCCCTAAACCCTGACCCCCTTCGTCGGCAAATGGTTTTTTTCCACCCGGGGGGGGCCCTAAACCCTGACCCCCTTCGTCGGCAAATGGCTTTTTTCCACCCGGGGAGGCCCTAAACCCTGACCCCCTTCGTCGGCAAATGGTTTTTTTCCACCCGGGGGGGTCCTAAACCCTGACCCCCTTCGTCGGCAAATGGTTTTTTTTCACCCGCGAGGGGGCCCTAAACCCTGACCCCCTTCGTCGGCAAATGGTTTTTTTTCACCCGGGGGGACCCTAAACCCTGACCCCCTTCGTCGGCAAATGGTTTTTTTCCACCCGGGAGCCCCCTAAACCCTGACCCCCTTCGTCGGCAAATGGTTTTTTTCCACCCGGGGGGGGCCCTAAACCCTGACCCCCTTCGTCGGCAAATGGTTTTTTCCACGCCCTAAACCCTGACCCCCTTCGTCGGCAAATGGTTTTTTTCCACCCGGGGGGGGCCCTAAACCCTGACCCCCTTCGTCGGCAAATGGTTTTTTTCCACCCGGGGGGGGCCCTAAACCCTGACCCCCTTCGTCGGCAAATGGTTTTTTTCCACCCGGGGGGGGCCCTAAACCCTGACCCCCTTCGTCGGCAAATGGTTTTTTTCCACCCGGGGAGGCCCTAAACCCTGACCCCCTTCGTCGGCAAATGGTTTTTCTCCACCCGGGGGGACCCTAAACCCTGACCCCCTTCGTCTGCAAATGGTTTTTTTCCACCCGGGGGGGCCCCCTTCGTCGGCAAATGGTTTTTTCCTTTTTGGGGCATAGGGTTTAGGGCCTCAGGGCCCTGAGAGTTTCGGATTCAGTTCGGTGAAGAGTTTTTCAAGGTTTTTCAGAGTTTTTCAGTGTTTTTCAAGGTTTTTCAATGTTTTTCAGGATGTTTCAGGGTTTTTAACCCTCAATTCTGATGAAGGGCCGCCCCCGCGACCTTTTCACAGCATAGTTTTGGTGCAGGGGGTGTCGTATTTTTCAATTTTAAAGGCAAAATAGTCTTCTGAGACCCCCCCTTGCCTCAAACTCCGACCCCTTGAGAGGGGAAGTTTGCCTCCAAAAACACCCAAATGAGGGGGGCCCCAGGATCGGCCCGGGTCCCAGTTAAAAATGCGATTTTTTAGTACTGAAATCGACAGTTCTGGGTGGGCTCTCGTTTTCTGGATTTTTGACCAAAAGCGAGCCTTCACCGATAGGGGCTTCTAAACCGTAGGGTTTAGGGCCCTAAGAGCATAAAGGGCTTATTGTGGGCCTTAGATTAGATTTCGGGTTTTGGGTCCGTTAAAAATTAAAATATTTTGGACCAATTGGACTTTGAGCTTTAAGCCTATCGGGGAAGTATTGAGTGAACTTTATATTTTCTCAATGTTATGGGTTTCTTGGGTGGGTGGGATTTTTTTCCAACGCTTGACGAGCTGCTTGACTAGTGAATGCTCGGACTTGAGATGCTGAACCCTAAACCCTAAACCCTAAACCCTAAACCCTAAACCCTAAACCCTAAACCCTAAACCCTAAACGATCCGACTCCTCCTGGCTTGGGGATCCTTGAACTTAGCAAATGGCTAAGGTCCCTGCCGAGATCCTTCTCACTCTACCTTGTAGCTGCTTTTCGGGTTTAGGGTTTAGGGTTTAGGGCTTCGGGTTCAGGGTTTAGGGTTTAGGGGAACTCGAGTGGCCCTTTTGAACGGGGTTAGGGTTTCGGGTTCAGGGTGTACCCTGAGCCCTTTTTTTTTTTGACTGCGCGGGGGTCTAATGGTGCTTGTGGTATGCTTCCAAATTTTTTAGCCCGGTGTGTTCAGGAGCGCGACGTTTGCAAGCTGTACACGCAGATGGTGGACCGTGTGTCAGAGAACCTGCTCAGGAGCCGCCCGCATAAGCAGTTGCATGCCCTAAACCCTAAACCCTAGACCCTAAACCCTAAACCTGAACCTTAAACCCTAAACCCCTTTTTGGTTTAGCGGCTCTTGGGCTTGTGGCTTGGAGTTTAGGGTTTAGGCCAGGGTTTACGGTCAATCATGTATCTTCCTTCCATTTCTTCTGGTAATCGCAGCCGGCCTAGAAACCCGAAACCCGAAACCCGAAACCCTGAACCCTAAACGCTTGACCCTTAACCCTGAACCCTAAACCGTCGAATGCCTTCTCCTCCGTCCCTTCCTCTTCCCACCCTTCTCTTTCTCCAGTGCAGAACGCCTGAAAAATGGCACCTGGCAGAAAGCGCCTGAACGCCAAGCCCTCAAGCCTGCCTCAAGAGTGCGAAGCCTTGAAACCGTGCCTTACTTGGAGGTTCATGATACTTCCTAACCATTTATAGCTGCACTTATAACCATATTAGGGCACTTAAGGGGCTTCTAAGTGGGCTATAAGTACAGTTAACTTATTGGTTAGTAAGTACCATGAACCTCCAAGTACAGCCTAAACTCTAAGCCCTAAGCCCTAAGCCCTAAACCCTAAGCCCTAAGCCCTAAACCCTAAACCCTAAACCCTAAACCCTAAACCCTAAAACCTAAACCTAAACCCTGAACCCTGAACCCGAAACCCTAAACCCTAAACCCTAATCCCTGCGGAACGTTGAAACACCGGACCCCGAACCTCCAACACGTGTTCTGGGAGGAAGCATCTCATTAATGGCCTGGTGTTTGGTGCTTCAGCTGCAGATGTCACCCCTAACCCTAAACCCTAAACCCTAAACCCTAAACCCTAAACCCTAACCCTAAACCCTAAACCCTAAACCCTAAACCCTAAACCCTGAACCCTAGACCCCAGACCTTAGACCCTAGACCCTAGACCTTAAACCCTAAACCCTAAACCCTTTTCCCTAAAACCCTAAGCCCTAAACCCGAAACCTCATCACCTGGTCTCTGAAAATGCCATGTTACCCCAAACTCTAAACCTTAAACCCTCAACCCTGCACCCGGAAATCCGGAACCCTAAACCCGAAACCCGAATCCCTAAACCCCAAACCCGAAGCTCTGAACCCCAAACCCTACCACCTCCCCCCCCCCCCCCCAAAAAAAAAAACAAAAAGCACACACACACACACACATACAAACACACAAACACAACAAAATCATAAAAGCAACCTAACCCCGATGCCTCGATTAAGTGCCTTCCCGATTACAACCTTTAGGCAGAGGCCGCATCGAAGTTCGGTGGGGCCACCATCACCATCCTCGGGTTTGGGGTTTAGGGTTTAGGGTTCAGGGTTTAGGGTTTAGGGTTTAGGGTTCAGGGCTTAGGGCACAAGGCATGCGGCCCCGAACCATATAAACCCTTAACCCCACAGGCTACCAGAAAAGGAGCCTGTAGTTTGAGATTGCAGGCGGTCTAAACCCTAAGCTTGGGATGTTCCCCCCTTATATGCCAACAGTCCTTCATAGGGGATTATAGGACCCCCTCTTTTACTCCCAATTAAGGACTGTTAGCATAAGGGGGAACATCCTAACCCGAAACTCCAAGTCCTTTGTTGTACGAATCTCTGTCCGTCCAAATGCAATGTCTGCAGTGGGAGGGGATGTAGGAAGCTACGTATTTACCATCTTGGACCCAGAGTATGCCTTATTCCCTTTTGTTTTTTTTTGGGTGGGGGGGGGGGGGGTGAGAGGTTAGGTTCCCTTGTAAACCCCTTTTTGCTAAAAAAGGGTACCCTGTTTGTTTTTGTTTCTCCAAGTTCCTCTTGGGGCCTAGCCATACTTCAGGCGCTTTAGAGGGGCCCTCACCTCTCCCAAACCTCCTGATTTAGGTTTTAGGGCTTAGGGCACACCGCTCCCCAGAACTTGCTCAAGTCCCCTAAGCTTAGGGAACCCAAAGCCTCTAAACCCTAAACCCTAAACCCTAAACCCTAAACCCTAAACCCTAAACCCTAAACCCTAAACCCTAAACCCTAAACCCTAAACCCTAAACCCTAAACCCTAAACCCTAAACCCAAAGCCCCAACACCCACACCAAAGGCTTCTCCACAGCCATTGTACGGGCCTCAGCAGCAAGCAGGTTGACGACTTGCGAACGTGGGGGGTGGGGGGGTGGTCCTCTAGTTTAGGGTCCCTTTTGGGAGGGTCCTTTTATAGAAGGATATTCCCCAAAGTGACTATTCCGGAACTGAGGGGCTTTGGGGGTCTAAACGAGCCCCCCCCACACCTCAGGCAAGCCCCAAACCTTTGAAAAATCGCCTTTGCCCTTTCACGTTGTTGAACCCCTTTTCCGCCTATAGTAAGCCCGCCGCCCCCCCCCCCCCCTCCCCCAAAACAAACAAAGAAAGAAAGAAGCTGTTCTGAAAAACACATTGAAACCCTGAACCCTAAACCCTAAACCCTAAACCCTTAAACCCTCCCTAAACCCCAAACCCTAAACCCTAAACCCCCTGACCTCCGAGACCTTCTGGATCATGGCCGGCGGCTTCTACTTCATGGGCGTCCTCATCGAGGAGTGTAGGGTTTAGGGTTCAGGGTTCAGGGTTCAGGGTTTAGGGTTCAGGGTTCAGGGTTCAGGGTTTAGGGTTTAGGGTTTAGGGTTCTTGGAAGTTCAGGGTACTTATAACCCAATTATAACAAGACTTATAAGCCCCCTAAGTACCCATGAACCTCCAAGTAGGGGTGCTGTGGGGTTCTTGGGCTGAGAGTGTAGGGATTCGGGGCAATTCTGAGGGCTCTCGCACGGGTGTAGGGACGGGGGGCTGCAGCGGGGGCTTAAGGTTTGTTGGGGTTTTAGGGTTTTAGGGTTTTAGGGTGCTAGAGTTTTAGGGTTTTAGGGTTTCAGGGTTTTAGGGTTTCAGGGTTTCAGGGTTTTGAGGCTTCTTGGGAACTGCAAGCCTCGGCGTCAGCTTCGGGTTGGGGGGTGAGGTGTTACTCCCCACTACTTGGAGGTTCATGGGTACTTATAACCCCAATGATTCCTGTAATTATAAGCTCCCTACGTCCCCTAAGTAGGTTATAAGTAGACTTATACTTGGAGTTATAAGTGCCCATGAACCTCCAAGTACTCCCAGCTTCCCTGAGGTTCCCTAGGTACCTACCCCTCGAACCCCCCTCCCTTAAGAACCCTATAAAGGTGGTTTTGGGTTCGGGATTTAAGCTTTCAGTTTTGGGGGGTGTTTAGGGTTTGAGGGTTAGGGTTTAGAGTTTAGGGCGGGTGTAAGTTTAGGGTTGAGGGTGGGTTGAAGGTTTAGGGTCGTCGATTCCTCAGAATCACCCGTGAACAGGTGGCCCAACCTGCGTTTCAGGGTTTTGGGCCATCTGTTGTTAAGCCCCCCCAAACCGTATACTTTTTAACATGTAAGGTTCTTCCACCTGAGCCGACATGAGAAGCTCCCAATTTCACAGCCCCCCGCCGAAGCCAAACTAGGCAGGGCGCGCGACCTTCGAGACGGGCCAGCAGGCCTTCATGGGCAGCTCAACTTGGTAGCCCATTGGTACCCTTTCCCTTTTTTGGGGTTCAAGGTTCCCTTATAAAGTACCCTAAACCCTAAACCCTAAACCCTGAACCCTAAACCCTAAACCCTAAACCCTAAACCCCAAACCCTGAGACTTGAACCCTAAACCCTAAACCCTACAAAGGGTCACCGAGTGAGATGTGAAGCCAAAGGGGTTTGTGCGGGGTCGTATCACTGAAGCCACCAGACACCAGACCGTTAAACCCTAGAAGGGTTTAGCGGGTTCAGGGTTTAGGGTGTGGGGTTTAGGGTTCAGGGTTTCGGGTTTAGGGTTTAGGGTTGTAGACGGTAGTTGGGGCTCCAAGTTCAAGGTTTAGGGTCTTTTTCCGCGAGGATTCAGGCGCCTCAGGCGGGTTTGTCGGGTTCGGGGGTTACCCCTAAACACCCTAAGCCCCTAGCCCCCTAAACCCCTAAAAAAACAATCCTGGTTAGAAGCCTCTTAAACCCAAAAAGGGAAAATATGGCCCCCTGAACCCCTAAAACCCGACATCCCTAAACCAGTGAAGTGCGAACCTCTTCTCGAGACCTTGCTTCTCTCTTACAAGCCCTAAACCCTAAACCCTAAACCCTAAACCCTAAACCCTAAACCCTAAACCCTAAACCGTAAACCCTAAACCCTAAACCCTAAACCCTAAACCCTAAACCCTAAACCCTAAACCCTAAACCCCAAAACCCCAAAACCCCAAAACCCCAAAACCCAAAACCCTAAACCCTAAACCCTAAACCCTAAACCCTAAACCCTAAATCTCCGGCCCAGGCATCCTCTATGCAGGCCTGGGTGCTGGAATGGCCTCGGCGCTTACCGGAGCCCCTGGCGAGTTTGGCCGGGCGTTTGGGTTTGGGGGTTTAGGGTTTAGGGTTTAGGGTTTAGGGTTTAGGGTTCAGGGTTCAGGGTCTAGGGTGTAGGGTTAGTATATTATATGTGTTTTTTTATCGGTATGGGGGGCTCGGGGGAAGTGGGTTTACTTAACGTTTCTATTTTTGGGGGTTCTTAAGCAAACAGCAGTAGCCCCTCATCAAGCCTTAGACCTTAAACCCGTCTGTGCCCTAAGCTCGATGTACGTGCGGCCAGGAGATCTGGCAAAGGCAAAAGTGGCCGCGCACGCGCCTCGCTCCAAAGATGGAATGTGGCAGGGCTTGGAGGGTTTGGGGTTTTAGGGTTCAGGGTTGGGATGTTCCCCCTTGTATCAACAGTCCTGAATAGGGATTATAGCAGGGGGTACTATAATCCCTATTGAGAACTGGTAGGAAAATGGGGAGCATCTCAAGTTTAGGGTTTCGGGTTCAGTGCCAGGTGTTTCGGGTTTGGGCGCCTTGGCACGAAAGCTACAGACCAGCGAGGCCTCTCAGGCTTCCCCAAACCCAAACCCTTGTTATAGGGTTTTAGGGTTTAGGGTTTAGGACTTAGGGTTCTTAAGGGAGGGGGCTTCAAGCGGGGTTAGGTAGCTAGGGAACCTTAAAGAAGCTTTGGGAGCCTTTTTGGGGGTTACTAGGGGCTATTATTAGGGAACCTTGGGTTACATACCTGCCTGGAACCCCCCCTCCCTTAAGAAGCCGGTTTAGGGTTTAGGGTTTAGGGTTTAGGGTTTGGGGTTTAGGGTTTAGGGTTTATAACCTTGCCTTGACTCCCACAACTTTTCTCACCGCAGCTTGCCACCCAAGCTCCTCCCTCAACTCAAAATCCGATTTCCGAAGTCCCTTTCCTTCTTCCCTAGACCCTAAGCCCTAAGCCCTAAGCCCTAAACCCCAAACCCTAAACCCTAAACCCGAAACCCCAAACCCTAAACCCTAAACCCTAAACAACCCTAAACCCTAAACCCCCTCCGACGCAGCCGAAGGACATGTTCCAGATCATCGACAAAGAGACACGCATCAACGGCCTGGAGCCGACGGGAGAGCGCTGTGCTGGCACGGTAGTCCTCCTCCGCCCGGGAATGGTAAACCGGGTTTAGGGTTTAGGGTTTAGGGTTTAGGGTGTATCCTCCGAATATTGGACAGTCCATACGATGCCATCATATCATGTACAGTAGTATACTGCGATCATTGGACAGTCCATACGATGCTAGCATATCATGTAGTATTATCAGATTATAGAAGCGTGAGGTGAACGAGAGTCTGTTGTGTTGTGCTCACTCCTACATCGCTTTCAAGGACCCAACCCCTCTTGACAGGCAGGGAAAGTGGTTTAGGGTTTAGGGTTTGGGGTTTAGGGTTTAGGGTTTGGGGTTTAGGGCTTAGGGAATGATGCCCACCGTAAGGCCCTAAGCCATGATGTCCATCCGCACTGTGACCCCCCCCCCCCGCCCCCAAGTTCAGCCCTACATCTGCTGGGGCCTACTTGTAGGTTCATGGTACTTCTTAACCAAGTAGAACTGTACTTCGAAGTGTAATTTCGTAGAACCATAGTAGGGCACTTACGGGGGCTTATAAGTACAGGTAAGAGTACACTTGTCATTGGTTAATAAGTATCATGAACCTCCAAGTACTACATCCCCAAACCCAAGCCCTGAACCGCAGAGCCTTAAATTAGGGTTTAGGATTTAGGGTTTAGGGTTTAGGGTTTAGGGTTTAGGGTTCAGGGCTCCATGCTCAGCACTCCGAAGCAGGATCTTTTTCTTGAGCGCCCTACCTATAAGAGAGTGGAATTCCTTCGATCCTCTGAAGCTCCTGCCCTAAGCCCTAAGCCCTAAACCCTAAACCCTAAACCCTAAACCCTAAACCCTCAACCTGCTCTTGCAGACCCCATAAGGTGCCTGCGTGCCCCCACGGTGGGCAGATTAGAGCCGCTTGGGTCCAGGGTTTGGGTGTGGAGTTGGTTTAGGGTTCAGGGTTCAGGGTTTAGGGTTTAGGGTTTAGGGTTTAGGGTTTAGGGTTTAGGGTTTAGGGTCAGAAGCTGAAGGTTGGTATGTTCCCCCTTTTTTGGGAACCGTCCATCATGGGAATTCTAGTACCCCCCCTATGATAAGCCCCTATCAAGGACTGTTAGTATAAGAGGGAGCATCCCAATGTAGAGGCTTAAGGGCCAAGGGTCGCTATTTTTCAGGTTGCGCCTTGTAACTCACAAAGCCCGGCTCAGCTAGTGCGAGGGTGTTTCGGCTTTTCCGGCTTTTGTCAATGCAATTGGGGGTTTACGAAAGTAGGGGGTACCCCTTTTTTCCCCCAAGTAGAAGAGAATCCCCTTCAAGGGACCCCCCAACAGGGTACCCGGTTTTTCGGAAACCCCCATTTCAGGATGTCTCAGGGGACTTCGGGGAGTCTACTGCTTTGCTCTGGTGTCTCAGGCTTAGGGCTTTCCATGTGGCTTGGATGCTCGAACCCTAAACCCTAAACCCTAAACCCTAAACCCTAAACCCTAAACCCTAAACCCTAAACCCTAAACCCTAAACCCATCAGCCCAAAAAACCAGAACCCGGAGCCCCAGACCATGAACCCATGGGTCGGTTCTGGGGGCAAACTCACAAGCCGCAGAGCCACTTCCAAAAACAAGCCCAAAACAAATCAAAGAATAATATGGTACATAGAAAACAAGGGGCAAAAAAGGGGGGGGAACAAATCAAAGAATAATCTGGTAAATAGAAAACAAGGGGCAAAAAAGGGGGGGGGGGGGGTGAACAAAAAATCAAGAAAGCAAGTGACGTCGACCATCCCCACCCCGGAGGTGCCGAATGTGGGAGCCATCCCTCTGCTTTCAGACAGGTTTAGGGTTTAGGGTTAAGGGTTTAGGGTTTAGGGTTTAGGGTTTCAGATAGGTTTACTGAATCTGCACGAGCCTTTCTGTGCAAGATGAGCCCGAAATCTTTCAAGCCTAAACCCCTTCAAGCCTAAACCCCAAACCCTAAACCCTAAACCCTAAACCCTAAACCCTAAACCCTAAAACCCTAAACCCTAAACCCTAAACCCTAAACCCTAAAACCCTAAACCCTAAACCTGAAACCCTAAACCCTAAACCGCCCCAAGCCTCAGGTTCCAGAACGTCCAGTTTGCGTATCCCTTCCGGCCAGACGTTCAGGCGGGGGCAGCATGGTTGGAAAGCTGCAGGGCAGCGACACCAGGCGGTGAACCTAAGTGATCCGAAACCCTTAGGACCCTAGACAATCCTAAGCCCTCGAACCCCTCTAAATCCTCTTTAACCAAAAACCTAAACTTAAACCCTAAACCCTAAACCCTACATCCTACACCCTAAATAACCCTTAGGGCCCTAAATAATCCTAAGCCCTAGGCCCTTTAGAGACCCTCATCACCCACGACAAGAAGCCACAAAGTCCTCAGAGCCTGAACAAGGGTGGTTAAACCCTAAACCCTAAACCCTAAACCCTGAACCCTAAACCCTAAACCCGAAACCCTAAACCCTAAACCCTAAACCCTAAACCCTAGTTAAGTTATTAAGCCCCAACACTGTCCATAAGCCTTCAACCAAGTCAGCATCGGATGCTACATTTTGGGAAGAGGGCGAAGGGTCTGCGACTATACTCTCCATCGACCCTGATACATATATATATATATAGGTGTATACATATATGTGTACAAACATATTTATTTATTTTTTTTTATTCCTGTATGTATGTATGTATGTATGTATGTATGTATGTATGTATGTATGTATGTATGTATGTATGTATGTATGTATGTACGCACGCATATTTTTTTATATACCTGTGATTTTGTATACACACCGTATGCAAGAAAGCAATATGTGTTCATATCGCTAGGGTTTAAGGGTTCACGGTTCAGGGATCAGGGCATGCGGTGTAAGTTCTCCAATCAACGGTGTATTGGGCTCTCCGGGAACAGCTTACTACGCCAAACCAACATCCCCCAGCGCACGGGGCCTTGACCCTAACCCCTAGAACACGCTCAACATCTCAAACGCACGCCAGAACCCTAAACCTTAAGCCCTAGACCAGTAGACCCTAAACTTGGGCCCTAAACCCGAAACTCGAAACCTTAAGCCTGAAAGCCACCCTTCTGGAGCTGGATGAAGAGGTGCTGAAAGGCGTGTCCTTCGTGCTGGAGGCTGGGAAGTCGGCCGGCTTGGTGGGCCCCTCCGGCGGCGGCAAGAGCACCGTCATGGAGCCTTGGCTGGCTTAGGGTTTAGGGTTTAGGGTTTAGGGTTTAGGGTTTAGGGTTTAGGGTTTAGGGTTTAGGGTTTAGGGTTTAGGGTTTAGGGTTTAGGGTTTAGGGTTTTGGGTTTTGGGTTTTGGGTTTTGGGTTTTGGGTTTTGGGGTTTTGGGTTTAGGGTTTAGGGTTGAGGCGTTTAGGGTTTCGGGTTTAGGGTTGAGGCGTTTAGGGTTTAGGGTTTGCTCTTAGTTGTTAGGGTGCAGTGTTTAGGGCTTCGCTTATTGGGGTTTAGGGCATAGGGTTGCCGGCCTAGCCTGGGCGTTTCAAAGGCCCTGTGCTTCAGCCCCTCCAAGTTGGGGCATACTAACAGTCCTTAATAGGGATGATAATGCCCCTTTTTATGATCCTATTCAGGACTGTTAGTCTATCATCGGAATATCCCAACCAATACGTCGTATCTACGGAAAATGCTTTACACTATCGCCTTCTTGTTATAGTCCAAGGCCCCTTTATCCCCTAAAGCCTAATCCCTCATTTTGGGGTTACATTTGGAACTATAGCCTTCTTGTTGTAGTAGTAGGGTTTAGGGTTTAGGGTTTGGGGTTTGGGGTTTAGGGTTTGGGGTTTAGGGTTTTGAGTTAGGGTATTCCTTGCTTAAGGGGCGCTGGGCTCCCTGTGCCAAGGCCATGCTCCAGCGCTTCTACGACCCCGCGAGCGGCGATGTTCTCATCGGCCGCTTGCCCTCCTTGTCTCTTTAGGGTTTAGGGTTTCGGGTTTGGGGTTTGGGGTTTGGGGTTCGGGGTTCGGGGTGGCCCTCGTTGACCAAAGACACGAAGCCCTCAACCCCTCATGCAGAAGCATCATTCCCTCGTAGCCCCCCCCCCCCTTGGACGTTTTCAAAAACGACCCCTAAATACTTGAAACATGACCATGATGTTAGAGCTTTCCATGCAGATGCATACCTACTGATCTTCCAGACATGTAGGGTCACCCTGAACCCCAAACTCACCGGAATGAAAGTGTTTACGGTTCAGGGTTCAGGGTTCAGGGTTTAGGGTTTAGGGTTTAGGGTTTAGGGTTTAGGGTTAGGGAAATCCTAAACCCTACATCCTTGAATGCAACCCTAAACCCTACACGCTAAACTCCTCCCGACAAAGTCAAAGTCCGGCCAGGGGAGACACGCCAGCCGCTGCGAGAACTCAACATCCGGCCCCACGGCTTCGTAGGGTTTAGGGTTTAGGGTTGAGGGTTGAGGGTTTAGGGTTTCAGGTTTAGGGTTTAGGGTTTAGGGCTTTAAGGTTTCGAGTTTAAGGTTTAGGTTTCAGGGAAAGATTCTACGGTTCAAAAGGGGCTCATGTAAAAAGCACGGACCCACCTGCCGCTGGCCTTGAAAAGGTCCAGGAGGAGGCGTTATTGAGTTTGGGTCTTCTTGGGTTGGTTTACCTGAGACTCCATAATCCCTATAAAACCTTAAATTCCCTGCAGACCCTACAGACCTACAAACCCTACAAACCCTACAAACCCTACAAACCCTACAAACCCTACAAACCCTACAAACCCTACAAACCCTACAAACCCTACAAACCCTACAAACCCTACAAACCCCACAAACCAGGGTTCAGGGTCTA